TGTCCCTTGATAAGGTGTAATGACAATTCTTGTTCTTCACCATATCTCACTTTGGCTTTAACCCTTATTTTATTACATGGGTAAAATGATATTTAAAGAACCTTTCCAGAGGGACACACCAGCGGTGTTCCTTAGGTCCCTTATTGTTCATAATTTTCTTAGAGATATTGGCAGTTGCTATTAGGACAAACCCTGGTATTAAAGGAGTCAAGGGAGGGGATAATAAACATAAGCTTTTACTTTATGCAGACGACATTGTAGTGTTATCTGACACGGTTTGCCATGGTGGAAATTTTAGGTTTGAATTTATGTTTGGACTTTTGTCACTTCCTGGTTTATTTTGTAGTTTCCTTGTGTGTCTAAAGGTTTTTATTTCTTGTCTTGGTCCTGATTCTGTGAGGTGATTGTCTGCCCCGCCCTAATGTGCTTCACCTGTGTTCAATCACCCTTGCCTCCCTTGTTTCTATATTATCTCTGTGCTCCCCTTTGTCCGTGTCAGTTCGTCTGTTCATGTCTGGTTTTTCCCCGAGCTGTTCATGTTGCCTGTTCATGTCAGCTGCGGTATCCCCTGTGTCTCCTGTTGTTGTTCCTTGTGTGCCCGTGTGCAATTCATTCCTATGTGTTGGCTGCATTTGGGTCCAGCCTTACCCGCACTGTGACAGACGCCTTAGAATCCCTACCGCATCTGATGAACACCATCCAGTCATTTTCAAAACTATCAGGTTACTCTGAATCTGAAGCAGTGCCCCCTTCCAAATTCTGTCACCCTTTTGTAACTTCAAATGGGTCCGTAACGGAATGTAATACCTGGTCAAATTTTAATCTACTGCTACAAAAGATTAAAGTAAATCTTGAAAAGTGGGATTAAGAAATTAAATTTACAGTACTTCATGGGGAAAAATTTGCATTAAAAAAATGGTAGTGGCTCCAGGACTCAATTACAATCTTATGATACTCCCACTCAAAATACCATCTACTATTTCTAAGCAATTTGATGATATAATTAAACAGTTTCAACATTCTTTGGAGTGGGAAAAGGCCAAGCATTAAATTGAGTAAGATGTGTACCCATAAGGACAAAGGAGGGTTGGGTCTTCCCGACCCTTGATTGCATCATTTATCTTTTGAAATGGCCAAATTAGCAAAATATTGGGGTGTGTCAGAGGATAAAGCAGATTGGATGGATACTGAACAGAAACTGTGTTCACCATTCAATCCTTACACTTGCAATATTACAAACCCACTTCCTTTGCACTCGAGATGTCTGGAACAGAATTCATAAATGGTTCAAAGTTTAAAATAATGTACAAAGATACTCAACACTATGGCACAACTCAACAGTCTCTATTGGAAAAACTACTGTATACTGGAAGCACTGGCATTCCTGTGGTTTGAATACAATTGGTGATTTATTTGAGGATGGCGTATTCCTGTCATACAATAAATTAATAGTGATTTAACCTGGTGGGAAAAGGTCATTTCTGGAAGTACTTGCAGATAAATAATTGTATTTACTTAATCTAATTTAATATAATTTTGCTGATAACACAATAAAAATGTAACTGGAACCACCACTGGAAAAGCGGAAAGCCTATCAATTTTATTTTTTTGAGTAATGAGTCTGTAAATATGAAAATGATATGGTAGAGGGACCTTGGAGAAGAATTTGAATGTGATGAATGGTCTAAAATTGTGGCCGGATGTGGCAAATATGTGAAAGAAGGGAGGGGAAAGTTTACACAACATAAGGTATTGTATAGATACAGTCATACACCATCAAGACAGAATGAAGTTGTTCAATAATATTCTGTAAAACTGAAATAGGAACTGTCCTACATTGTGTCTGGAAGTGTAGTTTGGCCAAACCACTCTAGATACTCATTCAAATACTCATTTGAAGTGTCTGATTCAACAATCAGCAAGAAGTAGCACAGAAGTCACATCAAAATGTCATAGTCAAGTAATTGGTGGGGGCTTGGGGGGTGAAACCCGACTGAGAAGAAACAAAAACACACAGTATCCAGTAATAAATGATGAAGGAATCGAGCAAGTTCGAAGCCACTTACCAGCTAAGTGCAATTGTCTAATGAAGGGACTGTTGATTTGGAGCTGATTCTGCAGGAGCCGAGGGGCTTTGGGCAAGATAACAAGGAGCAACTCCAGGACATTATGGGGGAAATAGTGCAGACAAACACCAGACTGGATGAGGCTGAGGATAGAATAATGAAAACTGAAGAGAGAATCCAAAAAGCAGAAGACACCCTAACAGAAATGTTGAAGCTACAAGTCAAACTAGATAAAATAACAGACCAAGTGCTGCTCCAGGCACAAGAACCATATGGACTTGTAGAGGGAGCAGAAAAAGAGTCGTCATCCATGATCTGCTTTGTGGAAAAACTGCTCAGGGAAAAACTGCAAACTTGGTCCCCAACCACCAGAGGCTGCACAACCAAGATCAATCTTGGCAAAATTTCTCAGCTTCAAAACAAAGGAAGCCGCATTCCACCAGGCATGGCAAAAGAAAGGTTCTACTTTACAGGAATAGCAAATAAATTTGCATAGGGAATACGCAGAGGTAGGAGGGGGTTTTAAAAGGCCGACAAATTCAGTTTCACACACTGTATCCAGCATGGTTTAGAGTCAAGTTTGATGATAAAACCCAGATTCATTAGACAGCGTAAGAGGCAACCCAGGACCTGTCGAGGAGAGTAGTCGCCCTGGAGACCATCAAACCCCTGAAAAATAAGTTTAGATGCTGAGAAAGCATTTGACTCATTCAGATGGTCTTTCTTATATGAAGTGTTATCCATATTTGGATTTCAAGAAGCTGTCATTGAAACATTTAAAGCCCTAAATGACAAAGCCTCTGTCATGGTTTGCCATGGCGGACACTTTTCGTTAGTTTGTTTGGACTTTTGTCACTTCCTGTTTTATTTTGTAGTTGGTTTCCTTGTGTGTCTCAATGTTTTTACTTCCTGTCTTGGTCCTGTTTGTCTGTGTGGTGATTGCCTACCCCGCCCCTAATGTGTTTCACCTGTTTCACTTGTGTCTATATATGCTTTGTGCTCCCCTTTGTCTGTGTCGGTTCGTCTGTTCATCTCTGGATTGTCCTTGATCTGTTCATCTCTGGATTGTCCTTGATCTTTTCATCTCTGGATTATCCTTGATCTGTTCATCTATGTTTTTTCTGCGATCTGTTCATGTCTGGTTGGTCCTCAAGCTGTTCATGTCTGGTTTGTCCTCAGTCTGTTCATGTTGCCAGTTTATGTCTCCTGTTGTCATCCCCTGTGGTTCCTCATGTTTTGACCTACTGTTCAAGTTCTTGTGTAACCCTTGTGCTTCAGTTTCCTTTTGTGGTTCAACAGCAGATTCCTAAGTTAATAAACTTTTTGCACGTCATTCCCCTGTGTTGGTTGCATTTTGGGTCCAGCCTTACCCGTATCATGACAGATCGTGACAGTACGAACTGACCAAAGAAATGGACCCAACAGCATACGCCAGCTTCATGGCTTTTTTGAGGTTGCCTCAATTCTCCCAGCCAGCACCCCCCGTCAGCCTTCACACCCCTTTCACGCTGGCTGATCCCCTGTCTGACTTGGACCTGGATGACCCTGACGAGTTCCCTTGAAAGGAACTATTTCTACGGGGTTGCTTGGTGGCCACAGAAGGCAAGGACATCATGGCTCCTGTCGCCACACCACGCAACTTTTTGCACCTCATTCCCCTGTGTTGGCTGCGTTTTGGGTCCAGCTTTACCCGCATCATGACACCCTCCGCAAGGATAAAAATTAATGGTGATTTATAAAATTAATTTATTCTATAACGAGGAACAAGACAGAGCTGCTGCACCTCACCGCTGCTCTTCTGCTTGTTTATAGAACCCCTGAGTCAATGGATTTGACAGAATGCTGAAGCAATCAGGTACCTGGGTGTCAACCTATCTGAAGATGTCTTAAAATTATAGATAAGATAAAACCGGACATAGTAAGATGAAATGATATTCCTTTCTTGAGTTTGAGTTCCAGAGTAAAGTTGATTAAAAGGAATATACAGCCACAAGTGTTTTATCTTTTTCAGTCCTGGGACAGGTTGATATCCAGATACTTATGGTGAGGGAAAAAATCAGGTAAAAAATCTTTACAATGGAAAATGGGTGGCATATATGTCAAGCACAGTGGAATTCAACTAATTTGACTAAATGGGGACTGTTGTAAGTTTTTTATTATGCCCCTGTAAAAACAACATTAGGGAAGTGGTGGAATATGTTGGAGACTGTGGGATAGATGACACCAATCACTTCCATATTTGTTGGAACTGCCAGGATATTGTTCCTTACTGGCAGGACCTACACACACACACATTAATAATGTATTTGGTGTAAACATTCCTTTTAGATGTGATACTGTATACAGTGGGGACATCCCATTTGAAGGGTGGAATACTAATGATAAACTGATATGAATACTTCTGGCAGCAAGTAAAAAGGCTGTCACAAGGACCTGCCCAGCATTAATGAATGTATAGGAATAATAAACAAAATCTATATTATGGAAAGGCAGTCATTTTCCCTGAAAGTCCAAAAAGAAAAGTTTTACCTGATCTGGACTTTATTGCACCTAACAGCTCGCTCTCTATTCTTTCTTTTCCCCCCTCCACTCCCAGTAAAATTTGAGGTGAAAGCTTTCCATGTTCAATTGTAAATCATTTCTGTTATTGTTATGAAAGAAAATCATTGGAAGAGCCAGACTGTGAAGTGGTTATCAAATATACTGCATAAGTCTCTGTTTTAAATGTACAAAATGTGATTCCCTTGCAGTAATATTGATAATATGTAAAATGATCATTGTGATGCTATATGTATGCTTTTCCAAATAAAACTAAATAAAATAAAATAAAAGAGGAAGATCTCGAGTTTAGGGCTTCAACCAATATGTCATTTAAGAATATGTTGGTAATCTGGTGACAGATTGATGAACAGGAGACAGAGTTTCAGTACTCACAGGTTTTGTCTCTGGAAGCTTTAATCACCCTGTCATCGACCCTGTAAGAACAATCACAACAACAGTTACAGAGTGAGTGGAAAATAATCAGTTTAGTTTGAGTTAGTTTTATTAAACCCAACAGTGATGATCCCTTATCAGTCTCACCCAGCTGAGTATTAACTGATCCAGTATCAATGAGCCTGATCAGTAGGTTAGTCGCTAAACTTTGGGATCAACTGGAGCTTTACAGTCTCACTTATAAACACAGTACCTTGGTAGCAGTAATGATCACCATGGTAACCACAAGAGCTGTTGTGTGTGTGTGTATTTATCTGATCAAATGGGTCAGAACATCACCTTCAGACCAAACTTCATTTGACCTGAACACAGATTCTTTAATGGACAGGATTCCTGACAGTGATGAAGCTTTTACTCTCCTCTTCATCACTGCAGCTCAGAACAACATGAGAAATCAAAACTAAACCAACAATGATCCACACACTGTTCAATGTTTCATGATTCTAGATGAACATTTCAGTCACACTGACTCATCAGACATCAACTACTTCTCAGCAGAAACAGTCTGATATTAACTTCAACCGTTTTATCTGCATCACATGTTCACAGTAGTTCTGTTCTCTCTCTGTCTGTCTGTCCAATCCTGAAGCCTGTCACTGTTCTCCTCTAACAGCTTGACTGAGGAAAGCAGCCACTGAGAAGGTTGGAGGTTTACAGGAAACACTGGATCTTTGCTCTGATACTGTGTTTAATACAATACTGCTGAGAGCAGCATGGACTGACCCCAACACTCTACTGACCTCAGACTCTCCAGTCTACAGTCTGGACTCTCCAGAAAACCACACAGATCCTTCAGGTCTGAATCCTGCAGGTTGTTGTAGCTCAGGTCCAGGTCTCTCAGATGGGAGGGGTTGGACTTCAGAGCTGAGGCCAGGGAAGCACAGCTGATCTCTGACAAACTGCAGTAACTCAATCTGATAAAGAATGAAAGATTTAGTTAAAAATGTCAGCACAATATTCATACACCTATTCATGCCCACACAGATTAATCTCTCTCACACACTCACACACTCACACACACACACACAAACATACACACACACACTGGACATTTTCTACAGTGTATAGAAAACATGAGTCCTCTGACTGAGAGAAATACCAGTGTCTGAGTTCTGAAGGTTGAACTGAAGTGAACAGACATTATTCATGACAACTGAGTGAAATGAGCTGAAACTGAAGAATCATTCTCAGTCTGAGAGAAGAACAACTGGAAACATGAGACAACAACTATTTAAAATGTCATTCATTACATCACAGTGAATGATTCAAGTTATGTGTCAATATTAATCAGGTTCAGTTGTGGGACAAAGATGATCTGACCTCAGAGTCTCCAGTCTACAGCCTGGACTCTCCAGAAAACCACACAGATCCTTCACTCCTGAATCCTGCAGGTTGTTGTAGCTCAGGTCCAGGTATCTCAGGTGGGAGGGGTTGGACTTCAGAGTCAAGGCCAGAGAAGCACAGCTGATCTCTGACAAACTGCAGTGATTCAATCTGAATAAAGAATAAAAGATGTGAGTTTAGGAGACAAAGTTCCTGCTTGAAAGCGTTCAGTGTTTCATCATCTGTTCAGAGCTGAAGAAAGTTTAGAAAGTAAAAGTTTAGAAAATGAAACTGAAACACCTGAACCAGCAGGATGCAGGTTCAAGCAGTCAAATACAAACAGTGGAAACAGCTCTCATTAATATTAACGACAACATGCTGCTGCTTCAATAAAGACGTAGTGACTCCACCTCTAAAACTCTGCCAGCTCCACCAGCAGCTCCATCTATACAAACTCATGTTGTGCAGCCACATTTATTAGAGATTCTACTAAAGAGTTTTCAAAGACAACAAACATGAGTTTGAACTCTGGAGAGAAGTCAACAAACACAAACACACATCTAAAACTTTTTAATTCATGCTGTGGTGTTGACATTTAATCTATCTGTAGCAGACGCAGGTTGGTGCCAGTGATATGACATAACAAGAGTCACGGTCAGGGCAGGGGAAGCTCCTCCACGTTGGCTTTCACACCATCAAACTATCACATGTAAAGAAAACTGTGACAAAAAGAATCTTTTCCCACAAACAGACTAGATTTTCAGACGTGAAAGTAATTTACGGCTGGTTCATGGAACTTATCCAGATCAACGCAAAGCAAATGGGATAAAGACACAAATCCCACAGAGGGACACTGTTCATGTTGCAGTAAGATTCATCTTGGTTTGACATCTGATTGACACTTCCTCACTAAAAAAGTGATATGAAAAGGACTTTAAGTGCTATTTAGGTATGAACTCATTCTTATTCACACTATGGACTCACTGGATTCACACTAAAAACATTGCACCCATTCAACACCATCTCCCTCCTCCTCACACCTAAAGGGGGTCCCAAATGGAGCCACAGGCTCTTACCATGAATCACATTACTTTCTGAACTGGTAACCAGTATTCCACCCTTTTCAAGGCATGTCTGAAATATCACAAGAATAAATGTGTAATCAATATGTAACCCCGTCATTAATGCTCCGGAAGGATTTTCATGTAATTTAGTCCAAAGTCTAAATTTGTAGCATAAAGGGAGCTGATATGTGTTTTACCAGTGCTGAGGTAAATATCCATCATGTGACAATACTGCCAACTAGAGACCACTCCTGACTCAGCATCCTCCAGGAAACAAGTTTCCATTTGTGTATCATTTTATTACCAAGAATTAACAGACTGTATCCTCAGTCATTTATTAGTAGTGTTAGAAATCGTTATTGTTCTGTTTAGTTAATGAACTTTTTTGTTTATCAGGTCAAGGTTCTGAATGATGTACAATATGAAAATCTTGTTTTTTTCCATTCCTCTGCTCCAAGTGATAGTGATGTATTTTCATGTAGGCTACCTGTTGAATGTAAATGGGCCATGGTGGAAGAAGGATACACGACATTTGTGCATAAAACAAAACTAAACATGTCAAAGTTTATGAAAAATGATTATTTTCTCTGGTCGAGACAAAGACAAGGAGGGAAAAGTGTAATGGGAGGTGACGGCCGTCAAGACCCCCCATGACACATGCCCAGAGGATAAAACAGCTGGATCCTCTAGTGTGCACGCTCTTGCTTCTTGATCGTACCCACATGTTTGATTCTTACGCTTTACGTTGCTCTTGACTCTTTTGTTAATTTTTGTCCTCGTGTTCTTTGTTCTCCTTGCTACCTACTTTCAGAGCAAGTTTTATTTACAAGCTAGAACCAACCAACTTTGAATCAGACAAACAGAAGTGCCTTAAAACAATTTGAATCTTTTAAATTAAGACTTTGATTTTTGAAGGTTTTTTGTTGTTTTGCCAACACCAACTCCTGCTTAAGTTATCTAACAAAAGTTAAGTAACCACAAAGTTTATTCCATCATCAACCTCCGGCCCACCGGCTACACACCTTACCAGGATTGTCTAACAAGACCTCAAGAGTGCCCAAGAAGGAAAGTCTGCTGGCAGACTTCCCCAAAGCCGAAACCACTGAGAGACACTGGCAGAACCTGTAACCTAGGTAACGGACGGCACCTCTGGGAGGATCCACCCAGAGTCTGCCATTGAATATTACTGACTGCAACATCAACTACTTTGGGTTCCAGCCAAGGGTCTCCACAGTGCAGCAGGCAGCTCCATCTCCTCCTGAGTTAAATTGGGTTCATGTTGTAATAAACATGTAGCTTACATTTCAGTAGTAAATATTCTGTAACAGCAATTAACAAGTGCGCTACACATAGCCTATGTTCATTCTCTTCCCCCTTTGTCCAACTCTTTATTATCACCAGCTAATAGATAATAGTGATCATCTGTTTTGGTTACATCTTCATGGTCATCACTGATTACATTTAATCTGTTAGTCAATTACTTAATAAACATTTTTAATTTGAACAAGTTGTTGTCCTGTGTGTTCCTCTGAATCAGATTTATAAATGAATAAATCTCTTAGTTCATCCACAACCGGGGGATGGTTCCCTTCAACGAGTGCAAATTCTAAATTAAAAGTAGTATTCATGCTACATATTTGTAGATGTCAATGTGGAAAAAGTTTCATGTGAGTTATACAGTGAAGGATTTTTCTTGTTATATTAAGGTTTCAAATCCGTAACTCAACATTGCTCTGCCATAGTCACTGGACTAAAACCAGAGAAGAAGAAAACAGACAGAGATAATATCAGACTTATGTCTGCAGGTTAATATCAACACAACCTTCACATCACATTAATCTCAGCACAAAAGAAAAAAATGGAGTCTGACCTCAGAGTCTCCAGTCTACAGTCTGGACTCTCCAGAAAACCACACAGATCCTTCACTCCTGAATCCTGCAGGCTGTTGATACTCAGGTCCAGGTATCTCAGATGGGAGGGGTTGGACTTCAGAGCTGAGACCAGAGGAGAACAGCTGATCTCTGACAACCTGCAGTTCCACAATCTGAATAAAGAATAAAAGATGTAGATAAAATCATTGATAATCAATCAGATATGTCCTAATCAATGGTCTTAGTCTAAAATGAGTAGAGGGACTTTGTCCTTCTGTTATTGTGGATCATCATAATGTCAGCCTTCTACGGTTTGGATGATCCAAATGTCAGCACAACATTCATACACCTCTTCATGTCATGTCATCAACACAGATTCATCACATGCTGCTGACCTCAGAACAGTCTGTCAATATAGAATCAATATCTGATCAGACATGTTGGACTAAAAACTGACTACAAGACTTTTATTCATGACTGAACTGGATCACAGTTTAAAGATCCAGTCCTGATCCAGTAAAAAGGTCTTGCTTGGTCCTGGTCTCAGGAAATCCAAATCTAAACACATATTCACATTAAACTGAACACACACACACCACCACCACACCACTGCTGATACCCGCGCAACACACACACACACACACACACACACACACACACACACACACACACACACACACTCCTCTGACTGAGAGAAATATGAGTGTGTGAGTTCTGAAGGTTGAACTGAAGTGAACAGACATTATTCATGACAACTGAGTGAAATGAGCTGAAACTGAAGAATCATTCTCAGTCTGAGAGAAGAACAACTGGAAACACGAGACAACAACTATTTAAAATGTCATTCATTACATCAAAGTGAATGATTCAAGTTATTTGTCAATATAAATTAGGTTCAGTTGTGGGAAAAAGATGAACTGACCTCAAAGTCTCCAGTCTACAGTCTGGACTCTCCAGAAAACCACACAGATCCTTCACTCCTGAATCCTGCAGGTTGTTGTAGCTCAGGTCCAGGTGTCTCAGATGGGAGGGGTTGGACTTCAGAGCTGAGACCAGAGGAGAACAGCTGATCTCTGACAACCTGCAGTAACTCAATCTGAATAAATAATAAAAGATGTACATAAAATCACTGATAATCAATCAGATATGTCCTAATCAATGATCTCTAGTCTAAAATGAATAGAGGGACTTTGTCCTTCTGTTATTGTGGATCATCATAATGTCAGCCTTCTACAGTCATCATCCAAATGTCAGCACAACATTCATACGCCTCTTCATGTCAACACAGATTCATCACATGCTGCTGACCTCAGAACAGTCTGTCAATATAGAATCAATATCTGATCAGACATGTTGGACTAAAAACTGACTACAAGACTTTTATTCATGACAGAACTGGATCAGTGTTTAAAGATCCAGTTCTGATCCAGTAAAAAGGTCTTGCTTGGTCCTGGTCTCAGTAAATCCAAATCTAAACACATATGTAGCGCCCTTAGCAGTTCTTGAACAAAACCATACTACTGACACCTACACTCTCTAGGTTCGGAGAGCTGGATATAGTTATTCAAATGAGAGAACATGAAGTTAACAGTTGACAATTTATTGCCTCACACAGGTAAATTTTTGGCAGTGTATGAAACATAAAAATTACAAAAAATAGAGCTCTTTCATGAAAAACAAAATAAAAAAAGTTTAAATAAAAGTGTCCCTCCTTCGTTATTAGGAGGTGAGAGTTCAACTCTGTTCTGTGGTGTACATGTAATGTTCTGAAATGTTCAGTTCATTACCCGGGTAGATTTGTGTGTTATTTTCTTATCTATGTCAATGAGTGAAGTGAGATGATCTCTAGGGTTCTTCGGAGTGGATCCCACGGCTGGCCACACTGTGCACCATTCCATCCAAGTCGCTCGTCCTTCCTGGCTCGCCACCGAACCTCCACAGGTTCAGAATCTGAATCAGTTCCTAATCCGGCAATAAAAAAAACAATCGGCGTCCAACAGAGGGCACACATGGTTGAAGCAGCTCCTCTCTCTCTCTCTCAATAACTCACAAGGCTCTCTCCCAAGTTCGTCAGCTCACTCAACGAGCGGCGCTCTTGGTCAGTGTCTCGGGTGTCTCAGAAGGAGCGTGCACGCTGCGTGGCTGTGACAAAGAATACAAGGCTGGTGCGCCACCATGTGGTGGGCATGGTAAACTCTCCTAAATTACATAAATGGGTTTAGTACCCATGTGGGTTACACCCTCCCCTCTTGAATCTGCATGAGTCCCTTCATGAGTTGGTCTCTGGTTCATATGGGGACTATCATAGTTACTAATAGTGTCTAGTGCTTGGTTAAAGCTCTGTAAAATACTCTTTGCAAAAGACATTAAAGGTTTCCCCAACTGAATGTAGTGAAAACGGTCAGGGGGTTGTCGTGACCTTTCTGACCTCCGTGTGGAATCATTTGTGTTTCCATCTGTTACAGATTCACTTTCAGCTTGTCTGTTAGATGTCTCAGATGCTTGAGTGTGGTTTGGCTCAGAATCTTGTAGAACCTCCACAGTTCCTCCACGTGCAGGTTTCTCCTCCTCATCAGTTTCATTTATCATGTCCGGTTCATTTTCATTTGCCATATCCATTTTATTTGTCATATCCGGTTCATTTTCATTTGTCACGTCCATTTGTGTACTGTCCTCTCCAGCAGAGGGCTGCTCAATCCTGACCTCAGGCTCCTCTCCTTCTACCAACTCAGGAGGTGTTTCAACAGGTTCAGCGGGGGGATTGCTGTCATCGGGACCACCCTGAGGCTGGGAGGTCAAGGGACCCGATGGCATGGCCGGCAAACCTCCATCCTCTGGGTTTGCATTGGGTTTCTGCCTCCTTGGAATTTCACACACCTGAGTGAACCTTTGTTCAGGAGGAACAGAGGGCTGGGCAGGATAGATGAGCAAGTCGTCCTCAGATTCTGAGGGTTCCTCTCAGAGTTGAGGGTGACTCTGTCTAGTTCTGGGCTTGCGGGCCTTAGGTTTAACTGGTTCAGTTTCCTCTGCTTCGGATAGGTCACCACAAGGAAGCAGTAGGTCCCTATGTAGAGGGACCATCGCCATTGATGGACTGTACTTTCTACACAGGTAGGTCTCCCATCTTTTCCAGAACCTTGTACATAGTGGACTCCCACTTGTCTGCAAGCTTGTGCTTACTCCAGAACCTCAGATTTTTCACCAACACTTGATCTCCTTCTTCAAGTGTCGACTCTCGCACTGCCTTGTCAAAGCGGCGCTCGTTACGGTCAGCAACCTTTTGTGAATTCCTGTTGGCAATCTGATAACTCTCCTCGAGACGTGCTTTCAGATGTTTCACATACTGAGAATGGTATTTGGGAGAGCCATCTTTCACAGGTAAGCAGAAAGCAATGTCCACAGGTAATCGAGGTTGGCGCCCAAACATCAATTGATATGGACTGAAGCCTGTGACATCGTTCTTAGTGCAGTTATAGGCATGGGTAAGTGGTTTTACATAGTCTCGCCAATGACTTTTCTCCTTATCCTTTAAGGTTCCCAACATGCCTAACAGGGTTTGATTAAACCTCTCTACGGGGTTTCCTCTTGGGTGATAGGGTGTCGTGCGCACCTTAGTGATGCCTGCTAGGGCGCAGAGTTCTTTTGATGAGTTGGGACTCGAAATCCCTGTCCTGATCACTTAGTAGCCGCTCAGGAAAACCGTAGTGTACAAAGAACTGTTCCCAAAGGGTTTTGGCGACCGTTGTAGCCTTCTGGTCCTTGGTCGGTATGGCAACCGCATATTTGGTAAAATGGTCTGTGATGACCAAGATGTCTTTAGTATTGTGATTGTCGGGCTCTAGGGACAAGTAGTCAATGCACACCAATTCCATGGGGCGAGTTGTATGGATGTTCACAAGAGGTGCTGATCTTTCTGGTTGTGTCTTTCTCCTGACACAGCGCCCGCATGACTTAATCTTTTTCTCCACATCTGTAGCCATTTTCGGCCAATAGAACCTTGATCTAACGTCCAAAGTCCAGGGTTCTCTCAAAACCCATATGTCCCATATCCTCACGTAAGGACTTGAGAATGGCAGCTTGAAGAGACTTGGGGGCAACGAACTGGTAAGTCATATCATCTCCTGATTGACGCGTTCTGTACAAAAGACCGTTTCTCATCTCCAACCTTTTCCTTCCCATGAGCATCAGCTTGAGCTCCAAAGAGTCGGGAATGAGGTTGGCCTCATCTCCGCCCTCCAAGACTTGGACAACCTGTCCAATGATCAGGTCGGACCTTTGATGTTCTTGGAGCTCTTCTGGACTGTAGGTAGGTATGGTAGAACAACCTAACACATCATCATTTTCATAGGTGTCTGGAACCGCATCAGGATGGATAGCGAGGGATTCGACCAAGGTAATGGAAGGCAGGTCGTCGTCTGCCTTGGTTAGAAGACGGTGTTGACGCAAGACAGCGACTGCGTCTACAGGTAAGTCTTGTTGGTCGGAAGATGAAGAAAGATGGTGTGAAGCAGTGGCGGCTGCTGGTCTTATAAGGAGGGGAAGCTCATTTTCGGCCTACATCATAAAATGTTTCCATTTATTTATATGTAAATTCTACCGTCCGTTCCTTTTCAAGAAAATGATCTGTGACCCTGTCATACCAACTAGGCGTCTTTTCCAGGGACTTGACTAGTGTCCTCTCAATGGCCAGCAGAGCTAGGCTGCTTAAACGGCCTTGGCCCATAGTGTTGCGGGTGTAAGACTTGAGCCGCTTTAAACAGGAGAAGCACCTCTCTACACCTGCAGATGTAGCTCCAATCATTGCCACTAATGACAACAGTTTGTACAGCTGAGGCATTGCACTGTCCAACTCCATGTCTTTCAGAAACAGCAAGAAATCACACAGCTTTCCCCTGTTGCCCTGCAAGTCCTGGTTTGAATATAGGACTTGAAGTTCAGACCTCAGTCTCCCTGAATCAAAGAACTGGCCATAACCTTTCAGGACACTCTGAAATGCCTCCTCTGGAAACACTTGTCTCATCTCATCAAATTTCCCTGGATTGACTAATTCCAAGAAGCGCATGCTTTCCAAATTTGCAAAACGCCGAGGTATCTGCTCTGAGAGATTGTCTAGGATGGCCATGTACAGATTTCTGTAGTGCTCCTTGGGATCCTGCAGTTGTGACAGACGGCGCTTTCTCAGGGGCTCAGTTTGCGGGTCTGATGTGAGATCTGCTGCTTTGGCATAAACAGCTTGGAAAGCCCCCTCTGACCTCTTCTCTTTGACATAAGCAAGAAGAGACTCAATTCTTTTCTTGCAGTACAGAACATCCATAGCTCTCTGCTGGACAATGTCAAATACCACATCAGTCTCAGAGAAGATTTGCTCATATGTGTACAACATAAACACAAACTCAAAATCCTCCAGTTTCATCAGGAAGCCTTTGGCACAATCTAATGTGTCATCATCCATGGTCTTATCTGCAATGATCTTCTCAAAAGTCTGCAGGAGGGCATCATAATTGTTTGCCACAGTACTCACTATCCGTGATGTGAAATTCCATCGAGTAGGAGCGTTTCTGGGCAACCTTGAGCAGGCTGCAGACTCAAGAAAAGACATCCTCTTTGTGGATTTTGAGAAAAATGTGGCAAACCCAGAGAGTGATGCAAAAAAAATTCTGCACTCAGATAAGCATTTAGCCCCCTGAGACAGCACCAGATTCAGTCTGTATGCATAGCAATGCACAAACATTGCACTGGGGTCTATTGCTTTAACTTTGGCCTGCAAACCATTGAGAGCTGAAGCCATGACAGCAGCCCCATCATAGGTTTGTGCCACAAGTTTCTTTGATCTCATCAGAAACAGTGGCTGAAAGAGCAGTGATCAAGTCATTTTGGATTGCATGGGACATACCAGAAAACACAGCTGATGACTGGAATTGTGTGGCCAGGACAGAATCATATTTTGATAATGTTTCTGTAAACTCCCTGTAATTCCCCTTGTTGGATGATTCACCATTTTCATCATGCCCCCTAAATGACAGCTCCTGACGGCCAAGCAAGGAAGTCACATCAATAAGGCGGTTTAGGAAAGCCCTATTTTGTTTGACTGTTTCATTATGTTTTGCCACTTGAATGTGAGCGCCTTCATTTATTGCATGTTCAACCCTGACTCTGCCCAGGCAACTTAACCTTGCACATGCACTCATATGTTCATTGGTTTTTTCATGCCTTTTGTATGCCCTGTCAAAGTTAAACAGATCCCCAAAACCCACTTTTGACCAGACAACACATCCCTGAGATGGTTTCATCAAGAGGCATGGCCAACAGTACATTTTATTTGTGACAGCACTTCCTGTCAGCCAGCTCACCTTGTCATACCAGGACAGCTGAAAAGACCTGTGAGTGTGAGTGATCGTGACGGGGGGAGAGGCTCCGCAGCTGCCGCTGCTCATTGGGGACAGAAATCTCAGAGTGACAGAAGAGAGTCGCCAAACACAACACTAGTCGTTTTTAACAAAGACAAAGTCGCTGAGGATCAGTAACGTCTCCAGATCAACTCCGAACAACAGAATGAAAAACTTGAAAAATGCTCCGGTGGATGCTTATACTTCAAGATCGCTGATTCGCTCATTTCACTGTCAATCAAAAAGGGACTCAGCCTCAGACAGATCATCCAATCATCATGCAGAAGCCAAGCGTCCGGGCCAGCCCACTGCCCCATAGACCCCCAGAGACACTGAGCGTCCGATGGGCGGGACAAAGCCCAGCATTTATCCAATGACCGTCTAGTTTCGCTGCAGTGGAACAACCCACTCTATGCTTCCCCATTGAAGTCAGTAGATGCTCGGCGTCTACACTGTGTAAAGCACTGTGGCGCTGCGGGGATGAATGAGAAGGAAGTCGTGTCGGTTACCTGTGATAAGAAGCTGATTCTGAACAAAAGATGAACGTGTTCTAGCGCATATTTAGTAATGAAGTAAATTAATGAAATGTACACACAACAGTACATATTTGACCACTTATTTTGTTGACATTTTAGGGGAAGCTGAGCTTCCCTTGCAGTCTTAGAGCAATCGCCACTGGTGTGAAGTGAATCTTTTGATTCGCTCTTCAAGAGAGGCACAGTCGTCAGCCATACTGTCATGCGGCCGTCTAGAAAGGCCGTCGACGTCCTGGTTGCGCTTCCCAGCACGGTACTTAATGTTGAAGTCGAAGGTCGAAAGAGCAGCTAGCCAGCGATAACTGGCAGCATCTAGTTTGGCTGACTTCAGAACGTATGTCAAGGGATTGTTGTCCGTTACGACAGTGAATGCATTTCCATAGAGGTAATCATGAAACTTCTCCTTGATAGGCCACTTAAGGGCAAGAAATTCAAGCTTATGGGCGGGGTATCGCTTTTCACTGGATGAAAGACCTCTGCTCGCATAAGCGATGACTCGCATCTCGCCATCCTGTTCTTGGTACAGGGCAGCCCCTAGACCTGAAGTGCTGGCGTCGGTGTGGAGCACGTATGGTAATTTTGGGTCAGCGAAACCAAGGACAGGTGCGGACGTAAGTTTTTCAATGATCATGTCAAATGCCTTTTGGCATTCAGGCATCCATCGCTCATTAAAGGGTTCTTTGGGGTTGAAGTACCCTCCAGGGCTAGATGTCTTTTGGCCCTTCCGATAAGGTGGGTAGCCGCCGGTGAGATCATTCAAGGGTTTGACTATTTTCGAATAGTCTCGGACATAGCGGCGGTAATACCCCGCAAAGCCCAAGAAAGACTTGAGCTTGCCAAAGGTTAGGGGTCTGAGCCAAGTGCGGAGAGCACTGACCTTGAATGGGTCAGTCTCCACCCCTCTGCTCGAAACAATGTGGCCTAGGTACCGCACCGAGCTTTGAAAGAAATGGCATTTCTTCGTGAGAGTTTCAGGCCATTCTCTCTCAGCTGCTGGAGGACATGCTTAAGCCTGGTTTCGTGCTCCTCTAACGTGCTGGAAAACACAATGATGTCATCCAAAAACACCAGTAGATTCCTTCAGAATGCTACCCATGACCCTCTCCATCAATCATTGGAAAGTACTAGAGGCATTTGTGATGCCTTGGGGCATGTGATTGGATTCGTAAAACCCCAACGGACACACGAAAGCGGTCTTTGGCTTATCACGTTCCTCCATCTCAATCTGATAATATCCAGATTTTAGATCCATTACTGAAAACCATCTGGATCGAGCAAGAACTGAAAAGGCTTCCTCAAGGTTGGGCAATGCATAGGCGTCTTTGATCGTCAGTGAATTCAGTTTGTGATAGTCAATGCAAAGACGGACCTCTCCATTTTTTTTACGAACTACTACAATTGGAGAAGCATAAGGGGACTCTGACTTGCGAATCACTCCTGCGTCTAGCAGTGTTCGCAAATGCTTTCTCACAGCTTCGTAGTGGTTTGGGTGGATTGGTCGGGACCTTTGCTTGAATGGTGCGTCGTCTTTCAGATTTATATGGTGTTTAACTTTGGTTGCATGCCCAAAATCAGTCTCATCGCAGGCAAAAACATCACGATACTCATGCAAACTACATGTTACTCTGTCTTTCCACTCTTTTGAAAGGGGCGAGTCACCAAAGTCAAAGGTGAAGCCTGACTGGTCTGGTCCCTTGGCTGGTTTGGGAATGCCAGCACAACATTTCACAGTGTCAATGGGTTTGTCTGAATCAGGTAAGTTGTCATAGATCTCTTTAGGTGTATGAAGCTCAGCAATGACACAATTTGAAGGAAGTGTGACATCATGCTCATTCTCATTTCTCATTCACACAGCTAATTTGTGAGGACGGTGCCTGGGCAGGGTGACGAGGCAGCACTCCACAAACACTCCACCAGGTAAGGCAGAGGATTGAGGCTGCTCAACTATAGCACTGTCACCGGGGGTGGGGGTGTCAACCTTCACATGCCCTTCTAAGCAGACTCTTGCTTGGGCAGGTAGGACTTGCTGCTCTTTACCTCTTAGCGTTGCTAACCCTATTCTCCCTGTAGAGTTAACCTTGTTTCTGAGATTGAGTACACAAAGAATCTGTCTATAGCCAAACAAAAAGGACAAGTCATTTGGGTTTTTATTAATACAATGTTCTTCATAGAAAATGTCGAGTGCATTTGTGCCAATGAGTACAGGTAAGTCACAATTACTATGGCGGTCTGGTACCACTAAGGCTAAGGTTGAAATTTCAGGCTCAGCATCAACAAACTCTTTTGGGAACTTGAGAGTGATGGGTACATAGCCTAAGTAGGGGACAGTTTGACCATTGGCACCTTCAATATCCAGAGCTTGGAAGGGCTGGATGGGGTGCTCTGACAGGTAACTCTTGGAAAAAGAAGCAGTTCCTGTGGTCACCTGGGATCCTGAAACAAGGAGACACATAGTATTAACTCCTGACACACTAACATCAGCTATACATTTCTGTCCTACGAGCCATCGAGGAAGCTTAGCTTGGGGCTCTCCTTTGTGGGATCGAATGGATGCTTTTGTCATGGGTTTTGGTTTGGGACTGTGATTCTCAGCTCCAGTTCCTGGTAGTCCCTCCACAGGAACTGCATTCAGTTTAAACTTTGTTCCCAGGATTCTTGTTTTTGCTTTAGCTCTCAGCACTTCTTTTCAACTAACTCAGGGTTTGCCTCATGGTTGCAGGAAGGTGCAATGTGGCCATCCTCGCCGCACCTGAAGCAGTACCATGGACGGGGCTTCTTGTTGGTAAGTTTTGGTTCTGGAGAAAGCGATGGATTTTCTTCAGCAGGGGCTTTAAACTTAGCCTTCTGTTTCTTACCTGGCTTAGCAGATGCTTGGCTTGAGCTTAGGGATGCTTCCAGAGAAGCTATTTGGGCTTGTAGCTTCACCATTTTTTTTCAAGTCTTTGTGGGTCATAGGGGGCAGCTGTTACTACGTCGTCCTCAGTGGCATAGTCTTCCACTGAGAGTGCGCTTGACTGGACTTTTGTTCTGTTAACCCCAAAGTGCTGCTTCATCCTGCTGGACTTAGCAGCTTGTCTGTCCTCCTCAGAGCGCACCCAAAGGAGTAACTCGGAAAAGAGAGGCGGGTTATTCTTCTTTTGTTCAAGCTGAAGACTGGTAAGTAGATCATTACTCCAGCAGCCTCTACAGAACTGCTTAAGCAGCTGACGATCCGAATCACTAGTAGACAAACCATCTCTTTTGATGACCTTGCTCAAGATTGTCTGCAAGCGCTGCAAATAGCCAGAAGGCTTTTCTCCAGAGTCCTGGTTCGTGTTTAAGAACTTTGCAAAAAGCTCATCGCCGTCATCAATGATACCACAGGCAGAGTCGAGTAGGGCAAGATATTCATGGGGAGAAGCATTGGGCCCAAGATGTTTCACAATGGTGGGAAAAGGCAGGTGGGAAAAGGCTCTCAACCATTTTCCTGGTTGTATGTGTGGCAGACATGGCAGGGTCTGCAAGGAAAATCTCAATGTTGCTGCGCCACGTGTCATAATCAGACTCTGAATTGGGACAGGGGATCCTCCCCGAGAAGGGTCTGAGTCGGGTGTTGCCATGATAGTGGAGAGGCAGGTCACTGTTCTTGATAACATGCTCAACCACTACTTTTTGTATCTCTGGAGTGGAGATATGCTCAGAAGGTAAGTACTGGGTTGGGTTCCTAGGTGGGGATGACACCGCTGCACCTATCTCGAGTGGGGGGAACCACATTCATGAGAGTGGGTCTGACTGTCACCTATATTGATAGGAGTTGCATCAGCTATGTGTACAGGGCTGGCGTGCTGAGATTCCTGATTAACTCCTGATGCATCTGGTTCAGTTGTCTTAGGTGTGGTGGACTCTTGAATCCTAGCTAGTTCATCTAGCAAAAACCTTTCAAAATCTGCTCCGCTTAGCCAAGCAACATCCCTCAGTTCACTTAGGTAAGTCTGAGTTAAGGTCGAACCTCTGTGTACTGTGTACAGCGCAGACAAGAACTGAATGTGGTGGATAATGTTCAGATTACTAGAGGGTCTATCAACAGGCAAGACATTCTTAAGATACTCAATAGCTCCACCTGAACTATATTCCACTATAGCTGTGTGTTGGAACTTAGCTTCACTGCTGGTAATTTTAATTACCCTCTCAATCTTACCATACTGTCCCAAGTAATCGAATACTTCATTATCTAACTCACTACCAGTCACACCACTTACAAGCAGCGAATTAGGTACTTTAACAATTTCAGATATATCTGTATCCATGCTTGTATTTGTACCACAGTTTTATACAAGTTAAATGGTATCAATGTTCACAGAAAAAATGCAATAAAATGTCACACTGCTCAACCTCACGTTCAAAAGATTTAAACCAACTCCTGGCTGGCTCACCAAGTTTTATGTAGCACCCTTAGCAGTTCTTGAACAAAACCATACAACTGACACCTACACTCTCTAGGTTCGGAGAGCTGGATATAGTTATTCAAATGAGAGAACATGAAGTTAACAGTTGACAATTTATTGCCTCACACAGGTAAATTTTTGGCAGTGTATGAAACATAAAAATTACAAAAAAATAGATCTCTTTCATGAAAAACAAAATAAAAAAAAAAGTTTAAATAAAAGTGTCCCTCCTTCGTTATTAGGAGGTAAGAGTTGTGGTGTACGTGTAATGCTCTGAAATGTTCAGTTCACTACCCGGGTAGATTTGTGTGTTACTTTCTTATCTATGTCAATGAGTGAAGTGAGATGATCTCTGGGGTTCTTCGGAGTGGATCCCACGGCTGGCCACACCGTGCACCGTTCCATCCAAGTTGCTCGTCCTTCCTGGCTCGCCACCGAACCTCCACAGGTTCAGAATCTGAATCAGTTCCTAATCCGGCAATTAAAAAAACAATCGGCGTCCAACAGAGGGCATACACGGTTGAAGCAGCTCCTCTCTCTCTTAATAACTCACAAGGCTCTCTCCCAAGTTCGTCAGCTCACTCAACTAGCGGCGCTCTCGGTCAGTGTCTCGGGTGTCTCAGAACGAGCGTGCACGCTGCGTGGCCGTGACAAAGAATACAGGGCTGGTGCGCCACCATGTGGTGGGCATGGTAAATTACATAAATGGGTTTAGTACCCATGTGAGTTACACATATTAAACTGAACACAAACTGTTTTCATCACACACACACACACACACGCACGCGCGCGCACACACACACACACACTCTCGTCTGACTGAGAGAAATACGAGTGTGAGTTCTGAAGGTTGAACTGAAGTGAACAGACATTATTCATGACAACTGAGTGAAATGAGCTGAAACTGAAGAATCATTCTCAGTCTGAGAGAAGAACAACTGGAAACATGAGACAACAACTATTTAAAATGTCATTCATTCATTACATCAAAGTGAATGATTCAAGTTATGTGTCAATATTTATTAGGTTCAGTTGTGGGACAAAGATGAACTGACCCCAGAGTCTCCAGTCTACAGTCTGGACTCTCCAGAAAACCACACAGATCCTTCACTCCTGAATCCTGCAGGTTGTTGTATCTCAGGTCCAGGTGTCTCAGATGGGAGGGGTTGGACTTCAGAGCTGAGACCAGAGGAGAACAGCTGATCTCTGACAACCAGCAGTTCCACAATCTGAGTAAAGAATAAAAGATGTGAGTTTAGGAGACAAAGTTCCTGCTTGAAACTGTTCAGTGTTTCATCTTCGTTCTACACTACCCTAACCCGAACTGTGGGAATACAAAAAATCTGGCTATTAATGGCTACTGTTAGCCATCAACAGAATTAAAAGTAAATGCAAAGAAACCTAGCTAATCTCAGGCCATTGCAACAAACCTCACACACGTGTCTTCCTTTCTTTTGGACTTTGGAACTGCCAGTCTGCAGTGAACAAAGTAGATTTCATTTCTGACTCCTGAGCTTGTGTGAGACCTGGATCAAACCTGAAAACACTGCTACCCCAGCTGCGCTTTCCAATAACCACACATTCTCCCATACCTGTCTGGCCGAGGAGGTGGGACTGGTCTCCTCATTTCAAACAAATGGACATTCACTCAACTGTTGCTTCCAAACAAATACTCCTCATTAGAGTATCATGTTGTCATGGTGACTGCTCTGGTGAAAGTCTCTGTGGTTGTCATCTACCGTCCACCAAGACAACTAGGTGATTTTGTGGATGAGCTAGACACTGTTGTCCTATATTCCTGACCATGGCTGTCTGCGACTCATACTAGGTGATATTAACATCCACTTAGACAATCACAGCTCTTCTGATTTCCTGTCCACGATACACTCATTTGACTTAAAACGTGTCTGCAATCCTCCAACTCACAAAGCTTGTAAAGTACTTGACCTCACCTGAAATTGTGCCACAGATTTTCTGTCAGTTAAACCGCTGCAACTCCCCAACCACTATTTTATTTGTTTCTCTGTTTGCCTCCCTGATCTACCATCCATCCCACCACCTCTGGTTTCTGCCGCAACCTCACTAACTTTTCTCCCACCCACTCAGTGCTCACTTCAGCTCTACCTTCTACTAGCACCTTTTCCTCATTCAATGAGATGCGCAGTACCACAGACACTCACACAAACCTTACCCAATCCTCCACCACCCCCACCAGACACATACCTCTCAGCTGATATATCTCTGCCTTGTTCTTCACTGAAAAGGTCGCGGCCATCACCTGCCAATTCTCGGAACCTCCCAGAGACAACCATTCTCTACTGTACAAGGGTGCAAAAGACACACCTTTTTCCCCATTTGCCCCACTCAGTGAGAAGGATTTGTCAAAACTCCTGACCAGTAGCCTGTCCCACTACATGTACGCTAGATCCCATTCCCACAAACCTCCTCCATAGACATATCTCCCTCCATTGTACCAGCAGTCACACATGTAGTAAATGCTTCACTGGCTCAGGTAACTTCAAAAAACCCTCACTTGACCCTGCTCATGTGGAGAACTATAGACCCGCCTCACTGCTTCCATTCCATCTAAGTGTATAGAAAGAGCAGCATTTAAAATTGTCTCAGAATTCCTATCATGGAACAATCTCCTTGATCCAAATCAGACAGGCTTTAAGAGCGGCCACTCCACTGAAAGGCCCTGTTGTCTGTGACAGAAGCCTTGAGGGCAGCTAGAAATGCAGGTCCGTCCTCAGTTCTTATCTTGCTGGACCCCTCAGCAGCTTCTGATACAGTGAACCATCCTGCTGTCTGTACTCTCTAACATGGCCGTCTTGGGCAGCGCCCTTTCTTGGTTTGAATCCTATCTCACAGGGTTCTCTTTCAGTGTGTCATGGCAAGGGAAAATGTCCTTAGCCCATCCCCTCCCCACGATCCCCAAGGATCGGTACTGGAACCCCTCCTCTTTGCAATATACATCACAACTCCGTGGGCCCAATTATCCACTCACATGTCTTCTCATAGCACTGCTATGCTGACGACACCCAGCTATTCCTGTCATTCCCACCAGGCGACCCCACTGTCTTTGAGTAGATCTCTGCCTGTCTCTCTGACATATCTGCATGGATAAAGTCAACTAAACCTCTCTAACACTGAGCTAGGGATACAGCGATTAACTGGTTTCACTTTTAAAATGTCACGGTTATGTAATCGTAAAGGCTCAGCTACACTGAGTGGGTGTCTGTTCTCAATCAAAAATCGGACATTATGCTGGTGCATTATTGTTGTCGCTTTGGATAAAAGCACCTGCTAAATATGTAGATATAAATGATATGCTCACACTTTAATACATTAACACGTAACGTTATTGTAAACCAGCATCACTGCAACACTAGAATGAATTAATGCTAGCATCAACCTGCACATCAACAAACTCACACTGTGCATAGAAAGTAAATCAAACTTAACTAAGGTATTAAAACACCGAAACGTACAGCGAGGGTGTGAGAAAAGACACAGGAGAAGCTCTCACCATGCACATATCTCTGCTTCACACTACTTGTTTACTACTGTGGGTTCCCTATCCCACAATAAACAGCATGTCTTTTGCAATGCATCAAAATAAATGTGCATCATGAGTTCAATGCAAACCAATGTGATACTGTGCTTCTATAGATAATATATATCAACATGAATTATAGTAGTAATAAAGTAATGTCCATTAACCTCCTACAGACTTAAATCAGAGGGCAGAGCAAGAGCAAGAAAACACTGAAACATGGAGTCTGACCTCAGAGTCTCCAGTTTACAGTCTGGACTCTCCAGAAAACCACATAGATCCTTCACTCCTGAATCCTGCAGGTTGTTGTAGCTCAGGTCCAGGTGTGTCAGATGGGAGGGGTTGGACTTCAGAGCTGAGGCCAGAGAAGCACAGCTGATCTCTGACAAACAGCAGTGACTCAATCTGAATAAAGAACAAAAGAGGTAGATAAAATCATTGATAATCAATCAGACATGTCCTACTTAATTACCTCTTCTCTAAAATGAGTGACTTTGTCCTGTTATTGTGGATCATCATAATGTCAGCCTTCTACAGTCATCATCCAAATGCACAGATTCATCACATGCTGCTGACCTCAGTACAGTCTGTCAATATAGAATCAATACCTGATCAGACATGTTGGACTAAAACTGACTATAATGTGGCCCCTTGTTGCCTCAGCTGGTAGAGCGTGAACCATGAAGGCTTAGTCCTAACTGCAGCATTCTGGGTTTGAATCCAACCTGTGACCCTTTGCTGCATATCACCCAATCTCTCTCTCTTCCTTACTTCCCTGTGTCTATTTTACTGTGGCTATCAAAATAAATGCACCACCAAAAAAAAAACTTACTACAACTTTTTTGACAAATTAAAATGAAGTGCTAAACTGTGGGTGGAACTAAGGCGTTTATGGTACATTAGAAATCAGAGCACCTATGGCACATAGGGCAGATGAAAACTTGAACCTGTTGCACCTGTAGGTGGTGTAGAGAATAAAAGTGGGGACAGGACACAACTCTGTGGGGAGCCTGAGGAAGACAAATGCTGCTTCACGCTTTACTCCTCTACAAGTGAAGGAGACCACAATCCATCTGACACCATTACCATCTGGATTAAACAGATGTTGCAGTTTGTCAGCCAAAACATTGGGCAGACACATGATGATCTAAACATGGTGATGGTCAAACACATTGTAGAAATCACAGACAAACCTGTACTAAACTGTTTCTGTCACAAAACAAAGTGTTGTTTTCATCTTTGTAGGATCAGTATGTTATACACAGTACTAAAACTAGACATACAGCATTTAATGATTGAGGTTCAACACAAAAGCATCTCAGTGAGATCTGACCTGAGTGTCTCCAGTGTACAGTGTTGACTCCTCAGTCCGGCAGAGAGCAGCTCCACTCCTGAATCCTGCAGCTTGTTGTTACTCAGGTCCAGATCTCTCAGACTAGAGGACTGGGAGCTGAGAACTGAGGACAGAGCTTCACAGCTTCTCTCTGAGAGGTTACAGCCACTCAGCCTGAAGGAGAGTTAATGATCAGGAGATTTTAGTTGTGTAGAGATTTCATGTTGTTTTAAAGGGAAAGGACATTAAACAAAATAAATTGTTACACTGTAAAATTTTAGTCACATTCTCAGATCACATTGATTTGTAGTAAGTAAATGTTGGTCATCAGTAAGAACCAGATTGTTAAGAAATCATTTTGCATGGCTGCATTCATCTGTAGAAATGAACACAGATGGATAAACACTGAAGAAACAGGTTGGACCTCAACAGCAGGGCCACCTGTATTATTGCGAATGTCTCCGACTGACTGACTGACTGACTGACTGACTGACTGACCATATTTCCACAATTGGCCAGCCAAATGCAACATAACTGAGTTGCAGCTTACTCATTGGCCATTACTCTTTCCATATGATCTGGTACAAACAGGTTCTATTAGGGAGGTGTTTACAGCAGCAGTATTGTCAACTTAGCGCAATATTTAGAGACTTTTTTCAAACAGACTGGGTATAAACCTGGTACATGACTGGACCGTGTATGGATGCCGACCAGAACATCAGGGCTACACCTTGTTACAGGCAGTCTACTGAGCCGCCCTAGTTTCTGCTGCTTAGAGGCTACTGTGAAGCAGCCGATTATTGTAAGTATCATGACTACTAAAAGAAGAGGAGGAATAACTACACGTAAGTAGTAAGAGGGAGGGAGAGAGAGAAGTCATAGCAAACTGCTAAAGAAACTAGCAGATCTGAATAACATGTAAACAACAGAAACATCAGCAAAAGGAAATGAGACAATACTCTTACTACAGCACAGCAATCAAAGCCCTGTTAAGATATAAAGGGTTTCTGTCCACTGAAATGCTAGAGGCCTTTCAATTTGAAACGATTACAGGAAGTGTTGAGTTGTATGATCTGAGTGATCATTTAACTGATGTGTGGCGTTGTGGTTATAAAATCAGGATTTTGGCATCAGAAGAGCAGCAGCTTGGAAGTGACTGCTGGTTAACATGTAGTCTTAAGGGAACATGTTTCTATCACTATTTCAAACTTGTTCCGTTGTCTTTACAACAGAAACAAAAAAACATTTCAATGAGAACAGCTTTGGTGTGAACTCAGCTGTATTAAAACCCTGTCTTTGTGAGCACAGAAAGGAGAAGAGAACAGATGAAACCAGCTGACACAAGACAATATGATGTCAGTTGTTTACAGTAGTTCCACAACAAGTCCTCAATTTCGCACATTGACCATACACAGTCCAGCCACATATTAGGTTTGAGCCTATTCTTGTTTACATTTTTTTCAGTTGATAACACACTAAAATGAGACACAAAGCAAAATTATTGAAACTGAGCAATTGTAAATAACTGTAATTACAACCCAACACATCTGACACAGTTAGAATCAGCAGTTGTCAGTGCACCTACAGAACTTTGTTGGAGGCTTTAACCACTGGAATCAGCCTCAGAAGAGCCTCCTCCGAAGCAGAGGAAAAGTATTTCTTCAAGTCAAACACGTCCAGATCTTTTTCTGAAGACAGTAAGATGAAGCCCAGAGCTGACCATTGAGCAGGAGACAGTTCATCTGTGGACAGACGTCCTGATCTCAGGTACTGTTGGATCTCTTCCACTAGAGAACCATCATTCAGTTCATTCAGACAGTGGAACAGGTTGATGCTTCTCTCTGGAGATAGATTCTCACTGATCTTCATTTTGATGTAATTGACTGTTTCCTGATTGGTCTGTGACCTTCTGTCTGTCTTTTTTAGCAGGTCCCGTAGTTTATCCTGATTGGTCTGCAGTGAAAGACCCAGGAGGAAGCGAAGGAACAAGTCCAGGTGACCATTTGCACTCTGTAAGGCCTTGTCAATGGCAATCCTGTGGATCTTGCGTGCAGAGGTTTTCCTCAAAAGGAGTCCCATGTTTTGAAGTGACGGTCGTGGCAAAGGCATCACATTCTTGTTTCTGTTAATGTGAGATATCTCCACATAAACAGCAGCCAAAAACTCCTGAATGCTCAGATGCACAAAGCTGAAGACCTTGTCTTTCTCTTTCCTCCCACGCTCTTTTTTAAAGATCTCTGTGAACACTCCTGAGTACACTGAGGCTGCTCTGAAATCAATGCCACTCTCTTTCAGATCTTCCCCGTAGAAGATTAGGTTGCCCTTTTCCATTTGCTGAAAAGCCAGTTTTGCTAATGACTCAATGTACTGAATGCACTTTTCTTGGCCGTACTTCTCTTTAGTCTGATCAATTTGAAACACCAGGAACTCTGTGTACATCTCAGTCAGGGTCTTGGGCAGCTCTCCTCCTTCTCTGGTCTTCAACACCTCCTCCAGAACTGTAGCAGTGATCCAGCAGAAGACTGGGATGTGGCACATGATGTGGAGGCTTCGTGATGTCTTGATGTGGGAGATGATCCTGCTGGCCTGCTTCTCACATCTGAACCTCTTATTGAGGTACTCCTCTTTCTGTGGGTCAGTGAACCCTCTGACCTCTGTTGTGCTGTCCACAAACCCTTGAGGGATCTGATTGGCTGCTGCAGGTCGCGTGGTTATCCAGACACGAGCAGAGCGTAGCAGTTTCCCATTGATGAGTCTCCTCAGCAGAACATCTGCTTTAGTTGACTGTGTTACATCAATAGAGCCAACATCCTCGGCATTAAGGTCCAGATGAAGGCGGCTCTCATCCAGTCCATCAAACACAAACAGCAGTTTGAATTTGCTCTTGTCAAAGTTCGTGTTTCCTGACGACTGTAGAGTTGTAAAGATCCAATTAAGAGCTTCCTCTTTGATGTCCATAGTTTCTGGTATACATTCATGAATTAGTTCTGCCAAACAAAACTCTTTTCCCTTCAGTGAATTCAGCCGACGGAAAGTGAAGGGGAAAAGGAGATGCACATCTTGATTGGTTCTTTTTTCAGCCCAGTCCAACACAAACTTGTGCACAAAGAATGTTTTTCCAATTCCTGCAACTCCATTGGTCAGCACTGTTCTCATGGGTCTGTATTTTCCAGAAGGGTGTTTGAACATGTCACTGGGTTTAATTGGTTTCTCTGTTTCTGCTGGCTTCCCTGCCTTCTCGATCAGTCTGACCTCATGCTGAGTGTTGATGTGTACATCAGCCCCGACTGTGATGTACAGCTCTGTGTAGATATCAACTAGACACTGTTTATCTTCTGCCCACCCTTCTTGCAGACACACAAACTTGTCCTGGAAATTAGACTGAAGCATCTGTTGGTAATATTTGATGGGGTGTGTCTCTGGTACAGGAACCATCACATCTGTGTCAAACAAGAAGAGAAACATTCAAAGTGTGAGGTATATGTCTACAGATGCCCCTTTTTCTTGCTTCTAGATGAAAATAATCTGCAACACAGCACAACCTTCAAAACTAAAGCTAATGGTGTGAAGATGTTTGCAGCATTTATGAAGCAAATGTTTCTAACTTTAGGCAAAGTAAGTTGTCTGTGGATACTATTCCAGTAATCATATCTTGATTTCGAGGTGTAGAAGTGGTTACAGCATGTAGCCACTTGTATTGTTTCCAGTGTAAGAAGGACCTGCAGCAGCAAGGACAGAGAGGACTGCTGTCCTGCTCACACTCTACATGTACAGCTGTTTGCTGCTGCCATATGAGTTGACGACTGTTGAAACTTTCCAGCTGGTCATTGCAGTTTAGCATGTAACTATGGTAACTGCTGAAGCCACAGGTAAGACAGCAAGAGCAGCAGGAGTTGGAGGATCATCAGCTTCACAGTTAACCAATATGGAACAATATGTAATATTAATAATTTTAATTAAAATTTTGGCCTGCAAAATTTCAAATGTGAGCCAACAGAGAGTGCACATGGTGCTTTACAGGACTCATGTCAGGGAGATTTTCCTTTGAGGTGCTACAGTATGGGACTTAAACAGTGACATTAAATTCTGGCACTGAAAATAAAAGTTGACATCGAAAACAAAACCTGAGCTGAAAAAGGAAACTATGGCACTGAAAAACTTTTATTGAGTTAGTGGCGTGGTTTGCCATGATGGACGATTTATGTTTGAGTTTTTGTATTATGTTTGCACTTTGTGTTTTTGTAAGTAAAGTCATTTCATTTCACCTTTAGTATTTGTGTTTTGTCTGCATTTGGGTCCAGCCTTACTTAATCCTGACACGTACCTGTCACTGCTTCTCAACCAGGAGACGTTTCAAGATTAATGGAGCGAAGACTGGGGGTTCCTGCCTGATAACCCTGCAGCTGACCCATGGGCACCAGAGGAGGTGTGACAGGCAGCAATGCCCAGCAGGTTACACCAGCCACCTCTACACTTACTGGAACTGGAGGATAAGGACCCAGTTGAACCTGGTGCATATGCCATGCCAAATCAAAACAGCCTCATGACAGGTGTCTCAGATACAGAGTTAAGTCAGTCTCAATTAAGCTACTTGAGAGGGTATGCAGATCAGGAGTGGATTCCTGGAACACTTAAAGAAGGAACAGCTCCAGAGTCTGTTCTGCCAGAGTGAAAACTCATGATGTGTTGGTGAAAAGACACCAGAGGTCAGAGTCATCTGCATTTAACAAGAAAGAGACCAGTTACAGTATACCCTTATGAGAGCTGCTCTGGGGACTAATAGGTAGGAAATCACTCATGTGTCTCAACGACTATATTCATGCAGGTATGTTTGGATAAGGAGTGGAGGATGGGGGTGTTGTAATGTGAAAACTTTGTAAACTAATGAATATTTTGTTTGTCTTGCGAGCGGAGGTGAACATTTCTTTCAGTTAACCTTCAGACGGTCTCTAGGTGGAGCTGATGACTAGAGAGAGCCTAGTCGAGGGTTACTAAACTTACAAAAATATAATTTTTTAACTAAAAAGATACATTTTGCCTTTTCAGGTTTTCCATACCTACCAGAGAACACAGCAGCTTTACCTTCAGTCTGAGGAAGAGGAGCCCGAGTCTGAGAGGAGGAAAGTCCTCTGTTCTCTGAAGTCTCCCCAACATCACTGACAACCTCTGACAGAGAGAGAGAGAGAGACAGAGAGAGAGATTATGTGTCTCCACTCATTACTGCTATTATTGATGTATTATTTATCATTAGGTTAATAAGTGTTTATGGGTCCTTGTTTTTCATTTGCATATTGTTTCTTAGATTCTGTGTGTGTATCTGTATTCAGACATTTTTTTAAGTTTAATGTTGCAACCTGGTTTAGTAAATGACTAGTTTGAAACCAGCTGGTAGTTACTAAGAACCTAAGAGGAACTTTACATTCAAACATACTGATGGCTTTATGAATAGCTGGTCAAAAGTCCTGGTATTTATTAGCAGTGATTCTCTGACACCAAACTGCTCCTGATGATGGTTTTAAAGTGAAACTGAAATCCTGAGACTGGAGCATTGCCTCTGTCCTGTCATGACTAATCTAATATCAGCGTATTGTCTTTTCTGGAACAACTTCAACATTAATTGCCTGAGAAAATGATGTCTACTGCTGCATCCACAGCAGAAAACATGGACAGTGACACAGTTAACTTTTTGTTCACCATGGCTTTTCCTAAAATGCTGCTGACTGTTTATGGCTACTGTTCACAGGTCAGTGAGATCCATCTACAGTTTTGAATTTACAACAACACAATACAGTATGGGGTGAATACTTTTGTGAATAAAACAGTCCATGTCTAGTTATTGCCTTTGAGTGAAAACATTTACAGACCTGGTTGCTTATTATATTATAAGTTCAACCCACTTTGGCCTTTGTCAAAGAAAGTTCTTCTGTTTAGGACAAGTGTTGCTGGAGTTTTTGACCTCTTAGGTTAGGGCTTTGGTCATTCTGTCATAAGGAAATGGGTGTGGCTTCATCTAAAATGGGTTGGAAAAACAATAAATGTGACTGGGTTGTGTTAGTGTTAATTACTTTGTTGACTGTTCCTGGTGGTAATTTTACATTTACATTACAATGTAAAGGTTTCAGGCAGCGTTGGACACGATATGAACTTACAAGGAAAAGGAAGTGAAAAACGATTTTTTGTGTTTTTGTAACATTCATTTTTGCCACAAGAACCTGTGATTTTTTTTTTTGTTTTATTAACTTTTGAATAAAATACATTTCTAGCCAAAAGAAAGGCATGACACTAATGTTTCATTCTAAAAGCACCACTGATGTTTTTCTCTCTTGTGACTGACCTTCTGGTCCTGAGCTACCAACAGACAAACTCTGCACCAGGTCATTCCTGTTGAGCTTCTCTAAAACCTTCCTGGTCACCTCCACAGCTCCAGGAAGAGTGTACGTCTGCACCATCAGATCCACTGTCTCCCACGTGTTTTTCGTCTGCAGTTGGATTTTTTTGATGGTTGGGAAGCCTGGTGTAATGTCAGGCTGCTGCAGGAACCACTTGAATTTATTGAATTCCTCATGTCCCAGATCTTCCAGAGTGTTCAAGAGGTCCTCTGGTGTCATCACGGCTCCCTGATAAAATCAGAGAACATTGTCAGTAGTTTTGTCACAGCTGTGTTATTGGTTCCTGCTTTTCCGATCTGTTCGTAATCAAATTAAAAATACCAGTCATTTAATTACTTAAAAAACTACACAAAAACACTCCTTTATATTGGTCACGGTCACATGGTTGTCATTGTCTTATTAACTAACTGGACGAGGCGGTCGGTGTCCAGTAGCTGCGTGGTTAAGACACCAACCACAAGTTCCTCATTTTGATTCCTGCCACTGAGCTGAGTCAGTGCTACAGGATCTGAGAGAATGAGTTACTGTGAAAGATCAGGTTGGACAGTCATGTGGGTTTTCTGATAAATATTAATTCATACTTAAACAACTGTTTTAATATTAAAATTAAGTTTTCCCTCAGAAAGGAAAGTGTTCTGTCCCACTTCTTTTCCCATTGCTGTCAATTAATCAGACAGAGTGCGAGTTATACAATGAAAATCGGGGAGGTCAACTTTCGTGATGAAAGGGAACCCAGTGCAGTACAGGCGCTTGCTTCAGCGGACTGGAGTGTTGTGGTGATCTTGCTTATTTAACTAAAGCAAATAAATGTAGTGGAGTAGAAAGTGCAATATTTCCTCTCATATGGCATTTGGCTGACCAATGGTGGAAATATGATCACTCAGTCAGTCAGTGACATTTGCCATTATTGGGTTGGCCCCCACTGTTGTGGTCCAGTTCAAATAGGTCAAAGACTAATTAAAGCATCATATACGACATTTTATATCGGTAATGAAATGACAAGCCAACATTGGAAATGAAAGGGCACACTATCAGTTAGCTAACATTAGTTATCTAAACTGTAACTTAAGGCTTAAGTTAGAAACTTACTAACATTATTATTATTACTATTATACATCTGTTGATACTTAACACAATATAATTCAGAAACTCTGAAGGTAATAAAGTAAAGTGTATTAAAGCTAGCTAATGCTACTTACATTTACCTACAGTTTCTGCGCAACACATGGGAGCAGAGATTTAAGTGTGTGAGCCACTGATGGAGTGGGGCAGGCAGACGAGACGATCAGCTAACATCAAGGTTAAGAAATTGTAGCACAGCCCCCAGAGCCCAGGCAAAGCACCAGTGACATGGTTGGGATAATGACATGATGACAAAGTTTATTCAGCTGGCTTGCTTCTATCAGTCACAAATGGTTAGCTTACAGGTACAGAAGTATCAATGAAAGGAGAAAGGAAAGAAGAGAAATAATTGTCGTACTGTGTGGGAGGTGTAGGTTCTTTCCTGGGGTTAGCTTTCTTCAGATATAGGTGCAGAAGGCTGAAGGTGAAACAGACGTAACACAGAGAGACGGCAAGCTACCAGTGACATCCATGAAGAGCAAGAAAGAGAAAGAGAGACTGGTGTAACTGAGACAAGCAGCCCCCAGCGGCAGAGTGCTACAATGGCATGCGCCACTGAAAGGGACCAGCGCGACTGAGCAACTACTCCTAACAACGAGGCTTGGCAGCAGACTGTTGTGAGAGCATTGTGGCATCTGTGGAGGGGTGAAGCTGGGTATGTGATTCCATAAGTTATTATGCTAGTCTTCAATATGGCCCCAGCACAGCTTCTTAAATTCACCATATGCTAGGGTCAAATTACAAGCAGATATACTTGGTCTGGTATCAGTCACAAGGCATTAAAAAAGTTCATATTGGGGCGTCGAGTAGCTCAGTTGGTTGAGCATCCGCCCCATGTGCAGAGGCTAAGGTCCTCACTGCAGTTAGCCCTGGTTCAAGTCCCGCATCGGACAGCCCTTTGCTGCATGTCATTCCCCCTCTCTCTCCACTGTACTGTCAATAAAGGCATAAAAGGCCCAAAAAACATTTAAAAAAAATTCATATTAAGGACATGCAGAGTTATGGACCTAAAATTGACACCCTTCTTACTCTTCGTACCAAACTATCAAATTGATAGGAAAAAGAGACAAGGGATCCCACTTTCACAAACAGACCAGATTTTAGCATGTCAGAGAGATGTACAACCAGGCCATGGGTCAAATGGTCAGCTCCAGAGGATCAACAAATGGACACAAGGCAAAAATCTCCATTCTGTTCATGGCCTCCAGCTACTGCTGGTTGTGACCAGGAAAATCTCCAGCTACAGAGCAACTCACAGCAACTCACTTAATATTTTGCTCATGACTGGGTTGATGTTGAGATACATAAGAATATTTATATATAATATAATATATATATTGCTATATATAATATAGCAAAACATATTCTCTCCCACCATTGCCCAGTTCATTACATAGTTCATCTTATCAGCTGTTGATTAAACCTGTTCTTGCTGCTCCACTTTTCATCTTTGTGATTAGCTAAAACACATAATCTCTCTTAGATTACATTTATCCTGTATTAGTTAGCAGTATTTTCTCTCACAAAGTTCTGCCCCAATTGACAAGGATTTTAATTGCAAAATATGGCCTTTAAACACTTTGTAAGGGAATAAAAAGAACATGACTTATTTTTTCATACATACTCATTAATAATAAATACCCCCCCAAACTCCCAAGTGACCAAAAATTTTGTTTCTGAACGACAATTTAGCCTATGCATATGAATATAATATATATGAAATTAAAAACACACCTGTATCGAGCAGCTTAAGGTTACTTTTCATCATTAACCCATGTTGTATGTTTCAACTGTATGTGGGCTCCAGGCTGCAGCATACAAAACACACCTGACACAATGACAGGTAAACTACAAGCTAGCTAGCTTACATGAAAAACACTGAACCACACTTCAAAACGTTTAGCTCTCTCTGCCATAAACAGTAAGAACACGGTCTGTGTGTGTCTGTGTGTTTGTGCTGCACAGTGATTTAGCATATGACACAGAACTGATGAATAAAATAAAACCAATGACATTTAAAGTTGTTGAAAATAGCATATAGCAGTACACTCACACAGAAACAGGATCTGATGTCTTGGTGATTGCTGATTCTTTTGAGACAGTTGAATCTGCAGAGTCTTCATGATCCGACAAGCAGGACAAAGAACTGAAGAGAGACAAACATGTCTACATGTGAAGAAACAGGAAGCATACTTTCACATTCCTTCATGCAAGAGCAGAAGAACAGGATTGGTTGAAAGTGGAGCAATATGTTGTGTAATGTTTTTTTTTTAAGTTATTTTTTGGGCTTTTTGTGCCTTTAATGGACAGGACAGTAGAGAGACAGGAAATGGGGAGGCAGAGAGAGGGGGAATGACACACAAGAAAGGGCCATCCAATGGGGGAGTCAAACCGGGGGCCAGCTGCAGCGAGGACTGTAGCCTCTATATATGGGGCGCCTGCATGGCCCACTGCGCTACGTGACTCCCCATGTTGTGTAATGTTTATAATGTGTGGTCATCAACTGTTTCTCATCTCAAAGTTCTCCTTGCAGAGAAATTGATTTGCAGCCAGACTGTACATAAACACACATATAAGGACACACATAGCACCAAACCAACAGGCATGGACATCAACAGGGGGATGGCGTGAAGGCCAGAGTAAGTTAATTCATCAAGGTCAAAGTGCAAAAGTCAAGTACGCAGTCTGTGCAAATAAGTGATCTCCAGACAACAATAAAATACTATTTGCCATTTAGTAACAGAATAGCAGCGGGAGCAAAGGAAAACTTGTATGTCTTGGTTCTCATAACGGGAACCCTAAACCGAACACTACAGGGTAACAGTTCAAACTCTGTCCAAAGAGGGTCATCTTGGCTCTCCAGAAGGTTAGCTTATCTTACCACCTGCCTGTTATAGAGGTCTGTAAGCTGGACTTGACTCCTCCATGAAATCTGACTGGCCACTTTGATGAGGCTACTGAGCCTGTTTTTGTTGACCAGAGTAAGGTTACAATGCAGAACATTAAAACTGATTCAATAAAACTTCTACAAAAGAGAGTCATCATCAGAGGAGACATTAAAAGAGCACATCTTCCTCTCTCTGTTTCTGCTGGGCCTTTTTTGTTGTGGAAGCAACATGAGGTTCAAAACAATTTGTTGAGAAAGGACTCATCAACCAGAGGACCATGCTACTCTTCCCCATCAAGAAAACAGAGTCATCTGCAAATTTGACAATGTGTCTGTTTTTGTGGTTGCTGCGACAGTCATTGGTGTACAAGATGTAAAGAAGTGGAGAGAGACAGCAGCTTCGTGGAGAACCACTGGAAGAGTGCAACTGATTGGAGAATGTGCCATTTACCCTCACACACTGAGACCTATCAGTCAAGAAGTCTAAAATCCAGACAACTAGATTAAAATCCATTTGAAAAAGATGAATTAGCTTTCCTGTTCACAGATGTGGCTGGATAGTGTTAAAAGCAGAGGAGGAATCTATAAACAACAGCCTGGCGTGAGCTTTTGTATCCTCTAGGTGGCGATACAGAAAGTTGAGTACTTTGACAGTAGTATCCTCCACACCTCTGACAGACCTGTATGCAAATTACAGGGGATCAAGGGCTTTATCCACTTGCAGTAACATCTCTTTTTTAATGAGCTTCTCCATTGTATTCATGATTAATGTTAATGCTACTGGCCTGAAGTAATTTAATGTTGTAGGAGTTTTAGTCTTGATGCTGATGCTGATGCTTATTCGGTTGAAGATGTTTCCCTTTCTACAGTGGCAGAGACTGAACTTCTAGAGGACTGGGTGGAAGTTGAAGAGGGACAGAGCATCTGACACATGTGGATGCTTGACGTTTCATCTTAAATAAAAAGTGTTTAGCTCATCAGACAACTTTCTGTCTGATTTAAAACCAGCCAGGGCAATATTTCTATTGACTTTGTCATTATCCAGTTATAGCTTTCATGCCTTTCCAGGCTTCCCTTAAATTGGTACTGACCAGGTCAGCTTCGATTTTATCTCTGTACCTGAGTTTAGCCTATTTGATTTCTGACCTGATCTCCAGTTTGTTTCCTTAAGTTCAATAACATTACCCTCATTAAAAGTATTTTTTCTTTTCTGAAACAGACCCTTCAGGGTTGATTAGGAGGCCTATGGTTTGTTGTTAGGAAAAAAAACTTGGTGGCATTACCTCTACAAAAAGAGAAGTAACTGCGCACAACATCTGTTAACTCATCAATAATGACTGGGGATTCTATAACCACTAACCATTCTGTGCAGTCAAAGCACCCCTGAAGGGCAAGAGAGGAATCCTCATTCCAGACCTTTACTAGCCTCTAACACACCTTCTCTAACACTCAGTGTTGTGACTGGAGGGCAAGGCCTGCCATTGACTTATATGCTCCTTTTATGGAACCATAACAGTGGTCCAGGGTTTTATTGTGGCGCATGGAACAACTTATTATAATATTATTATTATAGATTTAATGGTATTAACGTACATAATGGTATCTTTCCATCTGTTTCGTTTTTTGTTATCTGTTTAAGTTACTCTTAATATTCTAAAAAAGATACCCTGTTGAAAGAGCTCAGGCCCCCAAAGGAATTTGCACTGAAAACTACTGAAACTACTGATGAAACTACTACTGGATAGTCTCATAATAAATAAAGATGCCACCCTTCTTGCACAACGGGAACTGGTCACGTGAGAGTCAAAAACATGGCCAGTGATTCCACTGTACCGTTCCACTCCTGTTACCTACCCATTATTTCTTGAGATGTGTCTAAACAGTTGGTCAAGTTAAATAGGAAGTGCATTAATGTAACTGCTTTGGGGTCCATTTGTAAAGAAACATTAATACTTTAATAATGCACCAGGTTAGCGTAACATTTACAGCATTAGTTCTCTGAGAATCTCATGCATATCCAAGTAAAATTGGTATTGTAACTGAAATATCTCTGGCTGAATCAATATTGAATCAAATCAAATCAGGACCTTGTGAATTGGAATTGAATTGACTTGACATGGGAAATCAGTGGCAGTGCCCAGCCCCAGTTTTATAAGTCCTGGTCTGAAGATCATCTGTGCCAAGCTTTCCTATAAAACCCAAAATGGCAGCTGCATCAATGACATGACAAGTACTTGTACTTGTATCTCAAGCTTTGTAATAATAAAAGAAAATCAGCAAATCCATAGAATTAAACAATAGATAGAAAAGATACTTAGACCTGTGACACCCTATCAGCGTACTCGTCATTTTATGTAGTGGAAAATGTTTCAAAACGGCTAAATGTGATCAATGATGAGTTTGATACCACTTTCTGTGACATTGATATTATATATAACAAAGTTTGAATATTGATTGAACAGACAATAGGTGCAACCCTGCGGTGACCTTGATCCTGTGAAGTTTCGGTTGCAGATGTGATGCAGATATGATTTCACAGTAAGTCAAAATGAAGCCGGATATTCATTAAACTGTCATTCATTGTGATTGATGCTGCACAAATAAGTGTCACATGGCAAGAGCCATTATGCAAGCTAGTACAGGAACTATAGAGAGTAAACAATCATGCATGCTTATTTGAATTACAAACTACTCTATAAAGTCTGCAGTTGTTGATGGCCGGAAAATAATTAGGCTAAATTATGCTAAAATTGTTTTGAAGGGGGTGCACAACAACACATTTGTTTTGGTTTTGACCATTTTTTCACCAGCTGGATGAAAAGAGCTTGCCAAGTTAAAATAATATAAATGTGTGTTGTTGTGCATCCTTCAACAACAATTTCCAGCTTCAAATCATATTATTTTCCAGTCTGTATCTACTTCATTAATTTTGAAGATATACAGGAGAAGGAGGAAATGGACCAAACTTGGTGGATGTAATGCACTTGCAAATACCATACATTTTCACTTACCCCTATGTGTGTCCTTAACAAAGTTTACCTCTTTACTGTGACCTCCGCCATGCAAAGGCTGCATAGACCTTCACTTAAGCCCCAAAGGAGAATGGAACCTTGGTGCCTTACGGGAAGAGAGAGAGAGAGCAAGAGAGCGAGAGAGAGGGAAGAATGCTTACAAACATACATCTGATTCAAGGTGGCCTAGGTGCTGTGTTTACCTCAGTCATGATGTCCTTACAGCAATAACCATGTTAAGTGTGTCCCTCACTTAAGTGTGCAACTCACCAACATGTGCACCATTGACCACAGACACATTTCTGCAGTTTCAATTGGTTGTTTTAATTTCTTGTGGCTAAACCTCTCCTTACTACATCTCACTTCATTGTTGCCAACCAGGGGTACATGCTCTACACATCACTCTATTGCTTTACCAAATCTAACATTACTTTCAGCATACTTACATTGTGCCACAGCTTCATATATCCTTTTTTCACCAAAGTTAGCACGTATACATGGGGGTTATTTTACACGCAGGTAATTCCACTCCTTTTGCCTAGCCACACAAAATTAACATTGAATGTATATATATAATCTGTATAATCTACCACTATCACCCCTTTCAGTTTTAGAAATTGACACAGATGATAGTGATTAGCTAATATTAGCAAGGTTAGCCAGTGAGCTACAAGAACCATTTGACATGACAACTTACAATAATTTACGTACATTACAATTTTACATTAGACAGTAAAGTTAAACAAAACTTTAAGTGGTGAGCTAAGCCAATGACAGGTGCCATTTAACATTAGCTAGCGTGCTAGCCACCCCACTACCCCCATCTCCCACCCTACTAAAATGGCGCAAATAGCTGACTTAAGATGAAATGGTACTACTGGTACGTGTAATGTGCTAGTTAACATTGTTTTTTGCAAACTAATATAACAGTAAGTTAGCTTATGTTATTCTACCACACTAGTAACACTAGCTACCACTAATGTTCGCCCAAAGTTAGCTAGCACTTATGATAGCTAATTTTTACACTTTGTCAACTAACATGAGACTCCTGTTTAAATTTAAACTTAACTCACAATCTCTGGGCTTCAACTTCAGTCACCTCTATGCCAACTTCAGTTATGTTTTTTTAAGAGGCCCGTAGTTGAAAGGCCTGTTTGTGCCATGGATGTGAGTGGCCTAAACTCCAGTGCCTGTCATGGTCTCAGCCTGGAGGCTCCAGGTTTTTGGTTTTTGGATTTTC